AGCCCCCCTTCGTAAAATTCAGACGGATCATGCCCCCCTTCCCCTTGCTCCGCCTTTCTCCTTTTCTGCCTGTGTGCTCCCAGTTGATCCATTGGACTTGGTTCTGGTCGAGCTTGCATCTGCACTGTCTGTCCTCCGGTCTTGGTCCGGGTTGATTGTTTTCTGCATCCGTCTCCCCGTAATCCCTTGGTCTTGGTCCGGGTCGAGCATCTTTTCCTGCTCCTGGTCTTGGTCCCAGTCGAGCACTCTCTGTCCGCCCGCTCCCAGTGATCCCTTGGACTTGGTCCTAGTCGAGTGGGTGGGCGCACCTTGTGTGAATTCTGCTTGCCTTGAATCTCCGTCTGTCGGACTTTCAGACATCAGAATTCCGTCCTTGCTGCACTGCCCGCAGGTCAGGTAGACTTTTCTGTCTGTAGGGCTTGCCAAGGACTTTTCTGTTTGCCAACTGCGTCAAAAAGAGAGTGCGTATCTCTAGGGGTTTACTGAACTGTCCGTCTGTTAGTAAACCTACGCTTCCATAGCATGCGTAACGGACTAGTCAAGGATGAACACGGCAGGCGCCAATGCCGTGCAGAGCAGCGTGCATGGCGATGGCAATAAAAAATGCACGCGTGTGTTTCATCCCAAGGGGCCCACCTTGCAGCGTTAGCGTCCACAAAGTAGGATGATATCATTGGCTTCCAGCCTCCATAGGATGGCTATGATACAGATTGGGCGGAGCTTTGCAGTTCTCAGAGTTGATTGATACTGATTTTGATTGTGGGCAATGATTTTGCAATCAGGGGTAATGTTCGGTTAGTCCTTCGCGACGAATGGATAGTTTCGAGCAAAGAAGGTAGCTTGTGCAGTGGGTCTACATCTTATTTTGCAACACGTGCTGTTTGTGAGGAGCGCGTTTTGTTGAAAGCAGTCCAATTCTTCTTTGTGCATAGGGCTTTGTGACGGTGGATGCCTTTTCTAGACACTGAATACAAATGTTTGCCGGTTGCATGCGCGAACCATTCGTGTAGTTGTAAAAAAAGGACGCAACGCATGTGATGAGCTGTGTGGAGAACATGTGAGAAGTCGTTGACGATGGACATAAGCAGCAAATACATATTGAAACAAGGTAGGGTTGTCAAAGCGCAGTTTTTTTTGTTTTGCAGGGAAGTAAATTTGGGATCATGGTAGGCATGTATTTGATTGCGATGTCGTGTTTATTGCGAAATCAAGCATGCTGGGGGTTTTCGATTTTACGCCTGCCAGCGCCAGCCCTGCTTGAGTTTTGTTGGCTTCATGTTTGTTCGTGAAAACACAGCAGTTCCACATGTGGACCTTCGCACAATTTCCGCATGGCCAATTGCAGATCTGCATTTAACCGCACTGGTGAAGAATGCTTGTAAAGCATTATTTTTTAGTTATTTGTTGTTTTGCAAACCCAACAGTGTCTGATGGCATGCTGTCCCAGAATGTCCGCCGAACAAGACATTGCACAACACACGTGTAGAAGTGAGGGAATGAATTTGGGTTGGTTGGTCAAGCAGAAGTTGCATGCCGTAAGCTTGGATGGCTCAAAACAGTATCAATAATGCGGGCAAATTGTATCTTTGCTGTTTGCAACCAGTTGATTTCAAGCAAACTTCGGCACCATACCATGGATATTGTTTGGGAGTTTTACAACAGGCCAACCGCAGGGTTGTCATAGTGTGGGCAAACAATATAGACAATATGGGGACACATTACACAAACGTATAGGATGGTACTCATGGGAATTTCCCACATGTGGAACTGGAAGGCATGTTACTTCGAGTTGTTCATATGTCTTGTTGGAAATAAAAATTGTTTTGTACAGACAAAGGTTGCCATGCGCCGTCCGTGGAGACGTTTGAGCAGTGGTTTGTGCTTGGGTTGGGGTCCTAGCAACATTCAGCACGCCACATTCTGCTTTTGTTCCAACATTTTTCTACCTAGCCATTCTTATGCGCACAGACACTCCCCAATTAGCATACAAACACATATTGGTTAGTCAGCTCTTTCTGCATGTGGAATTCTTTGCGAGCGGCACTTCATTCTAGAAGGAAGTTTCGTATGCTAATAGCAGGAGTGTATGTGCAAGGCGAGAATTTCCTTTGTTTGGCGATTGTTTGTCGTGCGTTGATTCTGACGGAATGCTCGGTTTCATTTTTTGAGATAAGGCATTGCTTTCCGAGTACTTTTCTCATCAGACACAAACAAGGCATTGTCATAGCAACAACCATTTGTTGCGGTTTAGTCGTGCAAGATGTACTGAAAATCACAGTGCTTCATACGGACGTTAAAAAACGATGTTTTTGAACTCAAGATTTCTACCTTGGTCTGTTTGACGATAGGAAGATCATGTGTTTTTGCAATAACGAATGTATTTTTGCATCTGATTCAGTTTGATGTCTTATGTTGATAGGAGAAGGCACCTGGATGAACCCAAACTTGAAGCTGTGCTGCAAGGCGTTGTGCTTCTGTCCTCACTCGAAGGGCCCGCCACTTTCTTGTCGCCGTCAAGGCCAGCCCAGTATTTCAACGGCATTTGGTTGGGGGTTTTGCAATGTTAGTTCCTTCATGCCCGCACCTGGATTTAGTTCCTGCAATCAGAAAGCAAGTATAGGACGCCACATCTTCAATAGATGCGGGTTTCTCTGGGGTTGGTGCCACGTGTTGAGCCGCCCCGGTCGTGCTGGGTTGAGAAGTAACCTGCTGTGTTAGTGGCGTCAATGCGTATGGACATTGCACGCCACGTAGGTTTACAAGGGGCAGCATCATTTCGAGAAACGCATGGCAATCATAGACTTCCAGCTGACCAGGCGGAAGGTCGCCCGTCAAGCACAAGTGGATGCAGATCCAATGCTGTCCTACCAGGATGAGGATCCTTCGTCGTTCGGCAGCAGTCCTTTATAGCTGAAAGAACATCCGCATACTCTTCTTGATGTTTGTACCCCCCCTGCGCAGGCTCTCCCAAGGAGTTGGCCCCAGGGCAAAGCACTTTAAAGCAACCGCCCTCAGGGCCCTTAGGCCCCTTGAGGCCAGCCATCGAATTGCATTTTACATTTCCAATTGATCTCACACTTGGTTCGATCAATTTGCCTCGCAACGTTCAGCCAAAATCCGTGGGGTTGTGATTCAGATTCCAACAATGGACCCGGAAGAATTGGAGGCTCGTTTGGTGCACTTATCCTTCTGTGCGGCATGCTCAGCTGCATCTGGGCAGACATTTAAGTTAGTAGCACGTGGCCCACTGATTGGAATCACAGTCTTGAGGGACGAAGGGGTCAAGTGGAATGGTACAGCAACAAGTAAGACATGGGAACATAGAGATGTCCTTCTATGGAAATTGTTCCCCAAAGGTATTGGCTTACCATCAACCCTTTGGCCAAAGCCCTGGACCGGTAGAGTTGTACGAGTCTGTGATAATTCTTTACAGTTGTCTAGGTACGATCAATCCCTGGTTGAGATGTTCCAAAGCCACAGGAGTACTGGGAGCGCCGGTACAGCACGGGCGACAAAGGCACGTCTTCAGTTCTTAGGGCCGTGAAGTCCCAACAATGATGATGCTAGTCCATCCATGTTTACATGGCCCGCTTGTCGGAGTAGGGCTGGCAACAGTATGTCTTTAGTGTTCAACTGCAGTAGATACAAGAAGCCTTGAGTTCATCATAACCTTGTGTTGTAACCGTAGGGCACACAGATGTTGAGTTTGGGAGCTCGAAGTCAGGGCTTCGCATACTCAAGGACGGCTGTATTGCAGTGGTCACTATGTCGTAGTATAACCGGCGTTGCTGTCCCGGGGTCTAAACCTTCTGCTAGCATGCAGAAGAGACATGCCAGGCTCTCACTCGTTGTCTTGTCAGATGAACTAGTCTACACACTGTCCAGAACCTGTGTTGCTTGGCCATTTGTGAGGAACGTAGTGTTGGCTGGAGGGCGTTTCAGGCCGAACTCAGTACTGAGTCCTGTAGCCCAGCTCTAGGTCAAGCCTGACTTGCTTATGCACAAACTGCAAGGTTGTAAATGGGGATCCAACTCTCTGCCTTGCTGACACCCCAATTCTGACATGCGCCCATCTGACTCAGCTTCGTAGGTGCCCACAGCGACATTATCGACGATCGCGGCGTGGGCTGGTTGTGCCCTTATGCCGGACCAGTGCAGGTGCCTTCACGCGTATTTTCCAATATCTGGTGAGGTTTCGAGTAGCGTTTTTACAGGAATCTGTTATCATTGGAGGTTTTGAGGAGGAGCATAGGGTGTCCAGGGATTGTGTTAGGATCATGTGTAAATTCTGTGCTGTGAGGTTTCTTGGCAACAAGTTCTGGCTGAGGGTTGCATGGCATACCTGTTTCCACACTGATCCTGTTAAGACTTTTGAAGTTTGAGCCTGGTGTGCAAATGGATTGCGGGCAATGGGAAGGCGGGCAATAGGGCTGGGGTCCAGTGGCCCTCATATCAAAAGGGCCTCTACATTTCGTGCAGTCAGACACAAGCCGGACTTGTCTCCGCTAAGGTACTGGGCGTTTCATGTAATTTGCACGAGATGTCAGGAATGTATATCAATATATTCCATGCATCATCATGTAAAAAACCCTTATCCCAAGTGGGACCGGCATACCATATATGACTTAATGAAGTAATCAAAGATCTTGGAGGCCATGGTTGTCAAGCTAGTAGACTTAGTGTATCCACAAATTTGGCTGCATTTTGATGCAGTGCCTCGGAAAATTTCATGCTATTGGTAGCGTCTTGAGGTTACCCAAAAAATGGCAGCCAAGATGTGATTTCTCACAACAGATGCTGCTTTAGGGTGTGCTTTGCCAATGGAGGCCGCGCGTATGCGGCTGCTTTGCAGCTCTTCTGTCAGGAATGCCGACGTATCACATGGCACCTCCGCATGCCCATGCAATCTCCAAGAAACTGAGAACGCCACGTTTGAACTCTTGGCTGCGAGTTCCAGACCCACGGTTCTCGGTTGTGGTGGAGACCTGCATTACATACAAACTGTGAGGTTCTGTGTCGATTCATTCGCTCCTGCAGGAGCAGCACTTGAAAGCCTGCATGACAGTCAGGCAGAACTTAGTCAAGTCAAGACTGAGGTATTTTGAGATGCAGGGGCGGGTTTAATTCTTCCACATGCGCTTAGCCGCCCGAAAACTCTAGCCCCTGCTGCTTTCATATTTTCTACAGGCCGGACTCTGAACCGTAAGCCCTCGGCCCTCAATCCTCATTCCTCAAATTCTTTTCATTTACAAGCCTTGTCAGCTTAGAGGCCCCATAGCTCCCGACTGTGCCACAGCAGAACCAACTCAAGCACTCAACCCCCAAAACCCTAGATTGCGCAAATGAAAGCCCGACTTGGCTCCAGCCAGGAGACACTGAACGCCATCACCGGTGGCGATCGCAGCAAAGTCATCCTGAACATAGGCAGCTAACCTTAGAATCAGGATCCCCAAGGCATCATCCTCATTGTAAAGGAGTACATAGGATCCCAGGGTCCACAGTATTGCGAAACCTCGAAGCCTCATTGCAGGCTCCATCCCTCCAGCCACCTCTCGGGCCTCTAGATGGGAAGACCTGTCATGCAAATTTGCTGCTGCTGCTGCTGCTCATATTATTCCAATTAGAACAACAACGATGCCTGATATTGTTACTCCTGCTTCTCCCTCCGCCTCCTGGTACTACCGCCGCTGCTACTTCTGCTGCTGCCATCACCACCGCCACTGCCGCCCCCGGCATCATCACCTCTTGCAATTCTTACCGTGTCTTGGTATTGTTGTAAGAGCCATATGATGATGTTGTTGTTCGGATTTTGATGAAGTTTTCAGTTCATGGCGAGGCAGTCCTGAAAGCTAAGCCCGAAGAAGCTTAGACACAGTGACATCTTATTCACGGTTCCATGCAGCAGGTCAAGGACTCGAACCATTTAGCTCTGTACCAGCATCCACATCAACTCCATTTTTGACAGGCTGCGGATTGGATCAGCTTAGCCCTGACATCTACAAGGCCACACAAGCACGATTTGGGCGCAAACTGCTGGTTTCAGGCTTGAGGAAACCTTTATGCAGAGGTAGTTCAGGGTCGTTGGCGGCCCCTGGTTGTGTTATCAGCTATAATTTGGCAGTGTCAGCATGTACTTGGTGTACGTTGGTATTTCGCACAAGAGATCCGATTGAATCTGTGTGGGGCAATCCGGAAACGATTAGCAGGTGGTTGATAAAGTGCTGGCTTTGCCCTTGGTATTGCAGAGTCCGAGTCCAGCACAAACAGGATATTACCGGTGATGGCGGCAGATTGATTTTGCTGTGTCCATCAGAATCTCAAGTTGCTCGTGTGCCTTGGTGTCTTGGCTTCCGAGAAACGAAAGGTAGGCTCACTCCCAAGCCTTTGGATCATCTGAGCAATCTGAGCCTGTTGACACTTGGGTCCAAAAGCCGGTGCAGCCCCAAATCCTTCAGAGACTTCAGGATGGTTACACCAACTTGCTGAGCTCGGACATCTCGCAGAAACTTGGACTCCAGCACAGACGTGGTTGAGCTATTGCAAGTTGTTTTGTCTTGCATCGGACGGTTGCAGGATGTGTGCCATGAAAATAATGCATTCCAGCTGTCAGTTGAAGGCAACCTAGCTGGGCTTGCAGGTGAAGTCACAGTCGGTCCTTTTGTAGCCTTCGCTGGTTTCAGCCTTCAGTTTGGGTAAGGGCTACTCTGCCAGCCACATCAACAGGTAGCCAAGCCAAGGCTTGAGCAAGATGCGAACATGCAAGGGCTTTCAGGCAAGGTTGCTGTTGCAGGTCACTCATGTCATGCTTAGACACGCATTGCGACAGACATGAAAAGCATCCACAAGCAGCAGAAATGACAATACTCAGAATAAAGGAGTTGCAGAGGAAGACGGAGCAGTAGTGGGGAGCTGAATGAGAAGGACAACCAGAAGGAGCAGGAGAACGTAAGGGAGGAGGGCGAACCAGGTGGAGCAGTAGTAGTTGTAGGAGTAAGAGTAGGAGTAGCAGCAGGAGCAGCAAGAGTAGCAGAAGAAGCAGTAGTAGAGTCGAAAGAGAAGAAGTAGTAGTATGAGGAGGAGGAAGAAGTAGTAATTATTAGTTGTTGTTGCTATTATTAGTGGTACGTAGTAGTGGTGGAAGTTTTAGTAGCAGTCGTCGTTACAGTAATCATAGCAGTAGTGGTGATAGTAGTGCAGCCGCGACTGGGACAAATTCATTGGCGTTGCCTTGGCTTCATGATCTGTTTCATACAATGCCAGAAGAATAGCCACAACAAATTTCAAATGATATTGGACTTAGCAGTAGGTCTTCAGCTCATTGCCTTCTAGTAGGAAAGTTGAGTATATGTGCTTTTGAGGCTGCCAGCAAGCAAGTGTTCTTCTCAATTGTAATGTTCACCAAGTGTGAGAGCCCAAAGAAGAAACGATCCTTGAAAATACCTTCATCCTTGTGGCTTCGCTGTATTGCTCAGACTGAGCACATTAGGTATGCCATCTCGGAGATGGAGAAGCTGACCGCAGCAGAAATGCCCATGGCAAAGTGGTGCACCGACAGCATCCTTATCACAATTCCAGTAGTGGTTATAGTTGTTGTAGCAGTCGCACGGCAGCAATAGCAGAAGTATAAGCAGTTGCTGTTAGCAGTAGTATCAAGTAGCAGTGGCAGTACACTCGAATTCTGTCAAGTTTTGTTTTTATGAATGTCGTGTCTACTTCGGCACAGGTTTTTGCACCTGTTTGACCCATGCTTGAGCCATCGAGTATGGTTACGCTGTGCGCCACGTAAGCCCTACAGCAATAGGCCTGTATGTCAGGATTTCTGGACCCTATGGTAGGTACGTTGCCACCTTACCAAGGATGTTTCGGAAGCTGAGGGGTCGTCTATGTTGCGTGGTCAGAGTATTTGTGAGGACCGCCATGGAGGCACTGTTAACAACAATTGGTTAACAAGATGCTAGGTAGCTCTCGCATCTGATATTGCTTAAAGTGAGGTGTATTCTCGGTCCTGCTAAACATTTACGGTGCAGGCTGCTTCCAGGACGAGAGCCTTTTCTGGCATGTTAGAAGCCATTGGTGCTGAGGTTTGTCGACGATGTCACAAAGATGTCGCTGCCAGATGAGTCCGTGGATGTTGTAGTGGACAAGGTTCGGGAAATGCAGTCTGCAGCAATGTGCTCCTGGATGCACAACCTAGATCACATTACTTCCGGTAGCCGACGCAAGCGGGCGGACCTAGGGTGAGCTCATGACGCGCCATTTCGTATTCAGTGGGTGCACTGTTGTAGGATTTCGTGAGTGTGTTGGAGAATTCATTCGTTGGGCTTAGTTCTAAAGTAAGGAATCAACACTCAAAATGTTGAGTGAACCTGAAAGTGAATGACATTGCAGCAGGCCTGAGAGAGTACGTAATGCCTGCAACAAGGAGTGTAGCTCTCATGATTCTAGAACTTTCAATAGAATTTAAGGAAGGTGTTGCTTGATATTGGGCGTTGAGGCATTCTGGCCAGGTTCCATGTTTTCCTGAGCAAATGTTCCAGGCCACTTCAATAAGCAACTTTCCCATTCACGAATTTACCTAGTCCACCTCCTAAAAGAAGCTGTTCCATTCCTTACACATCATCTCTTTTCTTTCAGCATTCAATTCGTGCTGGGACAAAGTCTCTTTTGATTTCAAACGCAGGGCACCCTGGATGCAGTCTTGATCCAGACGGAGCCCTTCTTGTCAGCCGCAAGGCTGTCCGCAAGAGACCATGATGTGCATCAAGGGTCCCGCTTTGCTGTCCGTGAAGGGGAACTCCCCCTTATATACCTTTTGAGACCGTTGGTTATTTTCGAGGCAGGAGAAATTCCGGCAGATCTTGCACGGTTCCATGGCGGCTGGTTGGCCTTACAGGATTTGAATTTCTTGATGCAGGCTGTACGTGCAAGGTTATAGGTGCCCGGAAATCTATTGCTATTGCGCCGAAGCTCAGGGCCCCGAATCGCTTAACTCTCCAACTTGGATTCTAGTTGCATCTCAGCCATCAGGATGTCATGTGAGTTGACGTAGTCTTACAGTCATCAGTGCAACGCTACCTTGGCTTGTTCGGTATGCATTTGGTCCCGTATGGAGCAAAAAATCCTGTTGTGCTGTTGTCCTGAATTCTTTGAGCATTGCTGATTGACAAACTATGCCAGTAAGTCAGGCTAGGAACAGGTCTGAATCCCAGGAAATAGCTGTGACAGAGGGTTGATGCTTCTGAAAGGCTTGAATGGAAGCCTAGGGTTTTCCTGGGGTTGAGTGGGGACCTCAAAAACATTTACGTGATTCCATCAGAGCATGAAACATAGCTTTCCGTACCTACGTGAACTTAATAACTTGTTTGCGGCAAAAGAGAACATGAAGCACGAACCGTTTTGCAGCGCCTTTTCTTTGACTGAAGAGCTGTTTTTGATTGTGTTTTGCATTCGAGAAAGGATGCTGAAGGAGGTACAGCGCGTCCTGAAGGCGTGTTGCAAGAACAGTAGGGCTAGTAATAAGATCAGGTTGAGAAGGTTGGAACCACCCATACATCTGTTTTTAAACATATGTCTCATGTAAGCCCAACCAAATGCAAACATAGAACAGCAGTTTTGGGGAGGGTTAGTGACAATGAGCAACAGTACAGCCGTTTCCTTGCATATTCGAAGAGCGAGGAATGACAGTCTCAATTTCATAGTCATGCTGGCACTGTCAAGGGAAGGTTGGATTGCATTGTGTCCATTCATTTTGGGCTTAGAGCTTCCGACTGCTAGATTACCAGATTTCCTAGCGGACATGGGGTTACAACGGAAGACTACGCAGGTGATTAAGCGCAGGTATGCCTCGTCTGGGATGCCTTTCGTTGTAGACTTCTACCTTTGTTCTTCACAATTATATATGATTTCTTCCGTTGGCGCTGCACATGTCGATCAGGACTTGCATCTATCTTAGGTCCTTTCGGGCAACATGTCATAGCACAGGTAAAGGGAGGTCCCATATCTGCAAGCTGGAGATGTCCAACTTGAATGAAGTTGCAAGTGTTGTTTGTGCTCTTAAGTGATGATGGTCGAACTGCATCAGGTATTGGAGCTTGCAAAGGCTAGATGAAAGAATTTTCTTCGAGATTCCTGAAGACAGCAAGTTCTGAAGATTTTGGGTTTGCAGACCCACATCTCCGAAAGGTATGGGCGCTGGACAAACTTGAAAGCCACACAATGTCAGCTGTTGAGCAGTCACTGAAATTCCTCTTCGCAATTGGCTTGGAATTGCCAGCGCTGAAGCTTTTGGTCTGAATCCTGACGCTTGTTTCCAATCTTGCACTCACTAGGTCTGACTGGCGGCTGCTGAATGTTCTGTTGACGCTCAGCCCTGCAGCTTGAGCAATTCGGTATTGGGGCGATTCTGTAGTCTCTCATGCGTAGCTTTCGGACCAGATATGTTGAACGCAACTGCTTGTCCTCCAGTTTCATGTCTGAGACCCCTTACGCCGGGGAATTTGGAATGCTTTGTCGCAAGGTTCCTGAACCCCAAGTCCCTAAGACCAGCTTGGCACTCTGAAGCAATAGACCCTGTGCCCTAAACACTGCACCCTTCCCTTGCTTGGCAGGAGGGTGGCATCTACTTCCTGATCACACATGGTCGAGGATGGGTTTGGGATTGAAAGTCGGGCTATGGTTCAAATCTCAAGGTAGACTTTTAGCAGACCCGCCTTCCAGAATTCCGGGCCTCAGGCAAACTCAGGTTATGCAGGATGTCGCTATCAACAGAATGATTGGTGAGATTGTTCCGTGCGGTTTTCATCGCTTGCCTTCTTGCACCTGTTGTTGGAATAGCGGCGCCACCCTTCTAACTTCTCCCAAGCCGTAGTAGCTAAGCTTTCCTGCTCTGGAGTGTCTATGTAGGCGCCTCACAAGGACAAAGAAGACAAATAAGGGCCAACCCTTGGAGGATGAACTCTAAGGGTGGTAAGCGCTTAGCTCAGAATTGCTGCTGGTTCCTGAACCTTTGACCTCGAGGGACTCGGACCTTCTGCATGCAGAAGAATAGGAGCTTTGTCATAAGGATGTTTCAAATGGGGCAAGATGCATTTGAAGGTGTTAGGCCCTCATCCCACCATTCCTGAAACCATGAGCTCTCTATGTCCTCCAAGGTGCTCTCCAGACCTCTCCAGGGCTCCTTAGAATCAGGAATCCCCAACAGCTGAGGTATGAAGTCCTGAAACTAGCAATCCACAGGTGATCCGGATACTTGGCGACTGCCCGTCCTCACCTTGCCTCACCTGGCCTTCAACATCGCGAAGACTCCTGACATGGGTGGATACTACATCTTTGCCACTTGCCCTTGACAGGTGGGGAATTGACATCTCTTTCCGGTTAGGTATATGTAGGTTATATGGCTGACAATCTGAGGAACAGTACTGAGTTGGGAAATTTAAGCCACTATGGGCAAGGCACCGCCAGCTTGCAGTGTCAGTCATAGACAGCTGTGATCAGCCCATCTCTTTGAACACACCACTTGCATGATGGAGAACATGAACAAGGGCGCGTTGTGGTGCTACGTGCCTAGCAGCATTGTGGCTACGAGGGTACTTGCTCGCAAGAACTGCAACAGCACGGTGGGCAAGACAGGTGCAAGCAGTAACAATGGACGCAACGGCAATGATGGGCATAGAATAATGGGCAGTAGCCAGAACCAACACCTATAGCGATAATAGCGATGACGGCCATGACAGCGACAATGTCGCAAATAGCCATGATGGTACTACCTACATAAAAAGGCAAAAGGCAACAGTAACAGCTAAAGAGCCGACAATATCGGAGTCATTGTACCAAGAACAAAGAAAACGGGGGTAAAAAACACCACGAGCAGTGATGTGGAGAGAGTAAAACCGTCGCAGCACTTTTGAGCAAGAACCTTGGTATCCGCGGTAAAGCTAGGAGTGTTCATGATGGCAGGACTGTCGAGAGTGTTTCCTCTGTAGTCAGCAAAGCGGTATTGCATCTTGCAACAGTTGCAGGTCTTTTAGTTCAAGTGCCATCCAGATTCTTGAGCAGCAGGGCGTGCTGGTGTCAATGGCTCACCTTTGTTGCGCTTTTGCGATCTAGCACCTGCGGCGCCTCACAATCCTGAGAGATCCCAAGTCCCAAAAGGTTCAGGAAGTAAAATCCAATTCAATAGTTAGTAGCCTTCAAAAATAGAGGCATGCAAAACCCTCGAGAAGGGCCACTAAATATGGCTTCTTGCTTGATCGGGCTCTTAAAGGCTTACAGGAACTCATTTTCAGTAAGATACCTTGCACAGCAGGAAGACTTGGCTTCTCGGCACTTGACCTATTCAATGCTTGGAATCTTGGAGCTGGGGACTTGAAATAGAAAACGTGATCAAGAGCCCCGGGAAGATAGTACTGGGTGCAAACCTGCAAAACTTGAAGTGGAGAGGTATTCTTTTTCAGTTCGGGACCATGTACAATATCCCCGTTTGTCAACACAGCACTTCACCTCAAGCACCAAACCGAACGGCAATAGACCCCGTCCTATGCCCAAATTCCGATCCCAAAGCACCAGCCCTCTAAGTCAACCCAGAAATCTACATGACAAATGTTGGTAGAGTTTCTGATTCTAAGCCCTGCTCCCTTCCGCAGCCTCAGTCCAGGTCTGCACCAAGCTGCCGCAATCCGAGGCCGCCAACACCTCATCGCTCTGGAGCGAGGTGCAGAAGATTTTGGGAAAAACAAACGGAGTTTGGGTGTTAGGGTGTTATAGGGTCTCGGTTTAGGCTTGATGGTTTAGATTTGTGGTCGTGGGTTGAGGCTTGCTGTTAGGCTGCATTAGTCCTTCTTTTTGGGGGTGTCCTTCTGTCAGGATGATAGGTGCAACAACAAGCTTGTCGTTCCTAGCAGGAAGCAGCTAAATGAGTGCCTTGATGGGAGATTGTGGCAGATCGAGACTTTCGGCCTTCTCAGGTTAGGAGCTGTGGCTTTGATATCCTTCATAGCTATGTTGGAAGCTAGTTGAGCAATCTACAATCCGATGTGCAATTTATCTCGAATGCTGGAGGCAGGGAACATTCGCACTACGTTTACAGTTTACAGACATGACAGTGATAGTAATGACATTCGTTGGTAACACGAGCAGCCGTAAGAGGAGTCAAAGTTGTACGAATGGTACAACAACGAAAAGAGACCTTGCAACTGGAGTAGCGACTGTGAAGTTGCGCTACTCCGCAGAATTCAAACCCTAAAGATGCCATGCAGGCGGAGGCTTGGGCAAGACGCCGCGACGAAGAAGACCGTGAGGTGGCTTGTGTCCGGGTATGGGGGTCGAAGGGATGAGGGAGGATTACTCAGAAATCATGAGAGAAAGCAAGGTAACAAGAGATTCGATTGGGATTTGTTGGGATCCCGAGTGCGTTGAGGCCCCCGCTTTCTAAGCATAAGAGTTTAGCAACATTACTCAGGGAGGTCTGAACTTTGGGGAAGTGTTGTCTTTCCGACAGCAGCTCTTTTTTGACAAGCTTAAAGGTTTTGACTCATGCGGTGGTGCTGTTTGTTGAATTGGACCAAGGTAATCCTCACCTAACCTCGCACGAATAGAGCGGTGATTACATCTTGATTCTGCGAGTGAAGTTTTTCAGAATGTCACGGCCACTTTGACCATGACCAGGCTTAAGGTTGAGTTGTGCCATCCTGAACCAGATATTGTCAAGCGAGTGGTAAAGCACTTCGCTCGAAGTTACAAAGATGCTCATCACCGTCGTTCCTTGCAGTGAAGCCAGCTGGTATCAACCTTGTGCAACATCTGTTCGCATTGTGTTTTAGGTCCAACGTCACATTGGTCGTGGCTACGTTTCAGGCTGTTTCTTGCAAGAAGGAAGAAGACATAGACTTTCCACTGCATTATCAGCAGCCTTAAGGTTTCAGGTGAAAGGTTTTGGATACTCAAACGACTTAGGCGGAGTTTGCCGCTGTCGACGAAATTGGCCAATGAGCATTTCGTGCAGCAGATCCGTTTGCTGATTCGGGCAGATTTGTGAAGCAGCTGTAGACCAGATAATTTTTTCGGTATCTGCTTGCCTGCAGCACCCTCCAAATCCTTGGTGAATTTCTCATGTCATGCTGAGCAAGCATGCTGTTCGAGCTCTGGGTCATTACTTCCGCAGCCTAAACAGCAAGCTGAAAACTACTTAATCCTAACCCATTTCCTCCTGTTTTAATTGTAGCCTTCCACAGGCTAGGACTTGCGCTCAGGTCCGCTTCCGTTTCTTAGTTCCTTGGCTTCTGCAAAGCTCGCAGAAAATCGCACCCGCAGTTCTTAGGCAGAAAGGTCAGAGGGCTGCGAGAAGGTGTGCTGGGCGTCCTGATTGTGAGCACTGCTACAGCTGCTGGGAGTGCTATGGCTATGGTAGTAGGCATTTTAAGGTTGATGTAAGAACTGGGTCTTTCTTTCGCAGGACCTGTCTAGTGGCGAACCGCCGCGTACGTAAATCTCAGATTGCCTGCCGCTGTCATTGATCTTGCCTTGTGATAGTCACTTCGTAGTCTCCTTCTCCAGACCCGTGCATTTCAGGGAAGCGGACAGATGATTAATGAGCTTGTAGCCATTGCTCGTTTCTCGGCAGTTGCAATCCGCATCAACCTTGGATGTGTGATGTTGAGGACTGTTCCATATGACAGTTGTGATCTCATTCCTTAGGCTGTGCCTTGCTCGGTGACCAACCCCGGCTATACAAAGATGCTAGCAGAAGAATTCTTATTGTGCGGATCTTCACAAAAAAAAGATGGAAGGAGCTGCGACAGAAGCCTCCAATCACCACTACCAAAAGACATTTAATTACCGTAGCTGAGGCAAGAATAATGATTTGAGGCAAAATGTATTCTAATTGACTTCCTTCTGCAAGACTTACCCGGCACCTTGAGCACCAGTCACATCGTTGAGGACGTCCCTTATAGTATGTAATATGCTGTGCATAGTTTCACATCAAATGACTGGGTCGTCTAGAGTTAGATCTGAACTTTCATGTCCTCGTGCAGAGCTGCAGTCACGAATGCCTCATTGAGATTCGCTTCGCCCGTTGCTGGCTCGGCTGCAGCCGTGAGAGTGCACCCTAAGTCTGGAGAGGCATGGGAAATGCCTCTGCTGATCGTCAAGTATTTGCATGTCTAAGTGTTCAGTCTCCAACTTTTGCATTTGTGCCTTACACATGCGCTACTGCGTGAATTTGTTACACGCTTTCAGTTTGAATACTCTTTTGAATACAAACAGGGTGCACTCTGGTACAGAGAAATACACGCCATTTCGCGAGCTGGATCCTCAGTTGTGCTCAGTGCCTTGGTTTGACATCAAAGCTGCATGATGGCGATGGTTGCTTCATCATAGCTTGGAGCGTCGCTGTCATTGCTGCATTGTGTGGATTTTATGGCTTGCCATGTCTTCGCTCAAAAATAAAGTTCCCTCAAATTTCAGATGCTCCCTGTGGAATTCCGAAGGAGGAGGAGGAGGTGGTGGTGGTGGTGGTGGTGATGGTGGTGGTGGACGTAGTAGCAGCAATGTGGCTGCTGCAACAACAACAGCTACTCCTGCTACTGCTTTTGTTGCAGGTTCTTCTAGCGGCTGCTGGTTCTTCGGCTGCTTGTTCTTCTGCTATTGCTAGTGTTACTACTTCTGACGCCATTTTGACCGCGACTATGACCACTGCTACTACCTCTCCTCGCAGTCCATGACTTTGAAGCTGGCCGCTGCTGCTGTGTCTGAGTCATTAGTTGAAGGTTAGATGAGGGATGGCTAACAGCCTTGAACCATGTTCAGTTTGTCTGAGCCACAACCCAGTGATTGCAAGAAGACTATGCGAACCCACGCCATTCGCCAGGTTTCAGGGGATTGCCAACCTTTCCCAGGCTTACGGAAACTTCAGCCTTGAACTTCAACCCTGAATCCGTGCTGTCTTGTCAACACAGAGGAAGATGGCTGTGGCACCAAAGTGGGGACTCTCAGACCGTTTGGCTTTTATCATCCTTTTGGGGTGGTCAGGAAAGTACAGGGTGTTGTCTTGTCCCACAGAAACTTACGATCTACCAGGGTCATGACACCCAGGATAAAGGGCTACTAGTACTGGGATGAGTATTTGCCACAGATGGGCCGCTAGCCGTGATTAGTTTTGCAGATTCTCCGTAAGGTAGGTAGACAGAGCTGGCTTGCAGAGTTTCTCCCTTTTCTTCAGGAACGAGAAATGCACATACGTCATATTGCGTCATGGCTTGAGGCTGCAATCATTTGACTACATAAGCCCATGACTTTCAAACTGCTGGCCTTAGAGCGGAAGACCTTGGCCGAGGACGATACATTTCTCTAGACATTCGCGCAAACTTCAAGAACTCGATCATGATAATTCTTGAATTCGAGCGTTGAAGTTACCACCTGAGAGAGTGTCCTCCACTTTTCAAAGGCTGAGCAGAAGAAAGCTGCTTAGATTGGATCCCGTGATTTTATTGGTCGAAGGTTAAGCTTAGCGATTGGGGTGACTCTGTGCACTAGAATCTGGCATTCTGATGCGTCTAATCCACCCTTGGGCTCAGAGTTCAGGAGCCATGCCATGAGTTCGTGGCAGTAGTGCAAAGCTTGTTCCCTTACATGCCTCTCCACTGCACCTGATCTAGCATGTGGCCGGCAAAAAGTGCGACAGCAGGATCATAATGTAGAATACGCGGTATGTAAGATCAGGGCTGAGTGGTGAAACTTGCAGGTAGTCTCCAAATGTTGCGGGCCCAAAAGATGAATCAAAAAATGGGCCAATTTGCAAGAACCTTCACGATTCCTAGAAGCCTAAATCGTGCATGTGCCTTATGCCACGCTTCCATGTACCCAACGCGTAGGCGTAGAATCCACAAGAGGAGGATTCCGAACACATTGACGACAACGTTGGTACCCGCACGTGTTCTCAATCAGGCAGTTCTTAGGAACTGTTCGCAGCATGCAGGCTGCACGCAGATTCATGCGTGGGGATGCCTGGGATCAAAAAGGCCGTTGTCGAGATGAGAAGTTTTTTTCGTCATGATTTCAGGCATTTCAGAGCAGAACAGCTGCTGGACGACGACACAAGCGGACATATGGCAACCTCAGATCTAACACTTCACCCCGAGCAAAGTTATTGGGATGCTGCGCCAAGGTGGAGAGAACGGCAAGAACGATCCCGTCGTGGACCCGGACGTTGTTGCTTAGGTCACTGATTTCCTTGGGCTTTTCTGAACACGAGCAACTAAGGAGGCCCGATCAGGCTCTCATATGATCCAGAGTTAGTCTGAGGGGGGAAGACCTTCCAGTCCCAGAGAATACTTAGAGACTGCTGCGAAGCTGTACATACGGCCAAGTTGCAGGCTCGGAGTCGATTTGATAGATTCTGGAAATTGTGGGTCCTTTTTTTTGTAGCACACAAAGGGGAAGAATGGCCTTTTTTGCGGGTAGTAAGAGCCAATTCAAACTCTTGCACACGGACTTTTGTCTAGTGCTCGTTTGGGGCTTGATCCGGGGCTTGTTGTAAAGAAAATATTTGGGGATCTGGGTGCTAAGGAGGTTAATTTTTATTTGAGAGCAGCACAAACAACATCCCAGCCGAGCTTTGATTCAACTGCAGACATGGGGGTCTAATGTTTCAGAAGGTCGCCGTTGCCACTACCGCTAGCACCGACATAATGCAACGGTAATTTAATTCTTTGCATCGCGCGGCTAACCCTACGCACAGACAACCCTGAATTGCAATCTCCTGTGGTGGGCTGCGAGATAAACTCCAAGGGTACGCACTCATCAGGTTTAATCAGCTTAGCCTGAGTTGCTGCTAGCTGGCCCGTATAAAATTAATCCAGCATGCTGAAAACTGTGACCTCGCTTTGTGCAAAAGCCAAGGAGGGCTTCCCACGTTTCAGTTCTCTATTCTGCCCCAGGTACCGGGAGGGTTTTTGGTGATTCTGGCTCGATGGGTGAAGTTGTGAATCGGAGGCTAAGAAACGGGGCTCAGCTTTGGCGTCCACACGATCAAGTTCTGTGTGTTTGTTTTTGGATTTCTTCTTGGGCTTTACAGTTTGAAGTTTGAGCGGGTGTTTGCCAACTGAACGTGATCTGGTTCTAAGAGAGCTTTAAAAGCTAGCTGTCCACTTGAGATTAGAGGGGCTGGAGTTCGCAGTCTTATAGGGTCAAAAACATCTCCCAAGGAAGGCTTGGCAAGGCCCCAGAGCAGTTCATCCAGGTTGCTTAGGATGTTTCGAGATTGAGTCTCAAGGATTCTGATTGGGGGGCCGCCCTGTCG